ATGTCTCCCCAGCCGGTGTAAATTTCAACCTTCCCTAACTCATGCAACCTCTTTATAAACATAAAAGGTCATTAGAAATGTCCAAATAAATGTTCTGAAAAAGACCTCAAACAATAGTGATTTTAGAATCAAAAGACAGTGCCCACCCGCATCAGCCCCCAACACCGTCCTCAGGTGGGACTCCCATCCCCCAGCCCCAGTATTAACTCTTCCCTTTCCTAGCAGCCCCATACACGTGTGCCTGCCATTGGGACGCACACAGAGGGAGGGAATCGGCTATGGCGTGGCAGGGGGCAAATGTGTCTGAGACAAATGTGGTTCTCTAGGGCCACCCAGCTCATCTGGGGACCTGCTGGTGCTGAGGTCTCAACTCAGGCTTCCAGGAAAGTGGGTGAGGACAGGAGGGTCCCAGGGAGGGCCTGAGAGGTGAGAGCGTGGAGCAGAGAAGCAGGAGAAGGCAGCAGGCTTTCCCGAAGCAGGTGCCCCTCAGCGCTGTGAGCATCTTTTCCTTGCCCTCTGTCCCTCTTTCTAGGGCCTGTCTCCCTGGAAGCCCAGAAACTCACCCCGACTCCCCATTAACTGCCTCTGCCCCCATCTCCTAGGTGATGCTTCTGGGAGACTCGGGCGTTGGGAAAACCTGTTTCCTGATCCAATTCAAAGACGGGGCCTTCTTGTCCGGGACCTTCATAGCCACCGTCGGCATAGACTTCAGGGTGAGGTGGCTGCAGGCTCTGCCTCCAGCGAGCCAGGGGCTACGGCTCAGGCGCAGAGGCGCTGCTCTCTCTTTGCCTACTCCTGCTCCTCAGGACGACTGTGGCTCATGGCCTGGAGGGCAGCAGGGGTGCTCCCCAGGGACCACAGAGGTGGCCAGATTAGAGGAATCTAGACTTGGTGGGCTTCCTGACACCCTACAGGATATGAGAAATGAGAGACGGGTGAGCTGAGCTTCCTGGCCCTCAGTCCCCTTGCCCATTGCCCTCCCACCTGGGCCCCGTGGGCAAGGCCTCAGAGGTCCACCAGTCTTTCGGGAGTTCCCAGGAAGCACTGCACTAGGTTGAAGAGCTGGGCTGGCCAGGTGGGGAGAGAGCAGCTTGCCAGGGTCCCTCCTTTCACCTTGATGAACCCACCTGTACAAACCTGCATCAGGAGTGCCAAGCGCTCTGAGCACCACACACCCAAAGGGTCCGGGAGAGTAAGGGTCTAATCCTGGCAGCTGGGGGAGAGGGAGACAGTAACAGAGGCTTGTTGCATCTCTCCCAATGAGAGGGGAACGAAGCTTCGCTCGGGAGAATCTGTGGGCAGCTGCAGATCTGAGACCCTCCGAGGTCCCCAGGATGCTTGTTGGCATCTCATCTCTAAGGGCTCGGCTGCGGGATGGGACTGAGCTCTGTGAGAGGCAGACAGAAACGAGGAAAGGGCAGGGCCCCCAGCGCCCAGCCCTGTGCCACCTGCTGAGCCCCGGGGAGAGCCGGGTCTCAGGCTCCCGCACGCTGGCGTGTGGTGTGAGGAGCAGACGGAGTTGCCAGAGCACAGGGCTCCACGGTGTGGTATCTGGAGTCACCTGGCTGGAGACATCTCCGGGGCTCACGCCACCGCCACCGCCTCGAGCCCTGGGGAGCGACCGGGACGGGATGTTTGCTCCTCGGTAGGATGTCAGCAGAGCACAGGAGCCAAGCCTCGCCTGCCCTTCACACCACCTCTCGCTCTGCCCTTTTCTCTTTCAGAACAAGGTGGTGACTGTGGATGGTGCGAGGGTGAAGCTGCAGGTGAGATCAGATGCTGCTGGGGAGGAGGGAGGATAAAAGGGCCTGCCCTCCCTCCTCACCCAAACCACAGGAGGCCTGCGGCTCTGCCCTCAGCCTGGGGTGATTTCCTGTGGGGCCCAGGAAACGGCTTTTGTTTATTCGATGTCTGCAGAAAAAGCAGTTTCAGGAACCCTCTCTTCTACCAAGGCAGTTCAAAGTTCCAGTTTCCCAGGCCTCATCTGCCGTTGGAAACTGGACACCCTCAACCCCCGGGCTGGGGAAGAGGTGGCAGCACTGAATGAGCTTGAGAACTCAGTAGCTATCACCGTCCAGGACGTTGTCAGATATTCAGAAGCCCATGAGAACCTAGAGGAGGAAATAGCTCGCCTTCCCACACATCTCCCATACCACAATGTGGGGCCCTCTGCCAGCACAGCCCCTGCCCCCTGCCCCCTTCTGATCTTTTGACCATCCCTTCCTAGATCTGGGATACCGCAGGGCAGGAGCGGTTCCGCAGTGTCACCCATGCTTATTACCGAGATGCCCAGGGTAAGTCCCACCTGTACCTGATCCCCTCCTCCCAGCCCCCTCGTGATATGTACCCTTCTGCCCCAAGTCCCCTGCGTGATCTCTCTCTCCCCCTGCAGCCTTGCTTCTGCTGTACGACATCACCAACAAGTCTTCCTTCGACAACATCCGGGTAGGTCCCTCTACCCATAGCAGGCAGGCAGGACCTACGAAGTTCAGGACTGCTTCCTGCTTTGTGGGAAGGGAGTGGTGTGTAGAACGCTGCTGCCCCCTAAAAATATCTGAGATGTGACTCAGAAGTAATAAGCTACTGCTAGGTATTTGACTGGCACGTGGGCACAGACGCCAGGCAGGCTGTCGGGCACCTCTGTCACCTGCTTAGCACTTGTGAAGTACACTTGTGAATCACTGACGGTGATTCACAAGTGCACTTCACAACTGAAGTTCAGAAAGTACCCAGCTCCACCCTGCACAATTACCCACAGAGACCAAGCAGAAAAGTCTGTCCGTACATCCAGCCCAAGTTGCCAGGAAGAGACTCAGGCAGACAGAGTAAGTGACTCTGTCCTCACAACCAAACTGTTGGAGAAGAGAGAGAATAATTCAACGATACAAGCGCTGACTCTGTGGGCAGGACTGTCCAGGTTGCACATGCTCTCTGACCTCAAGGGCTTGACAAGCCAACTGGGGGAACGAGACATGTAGACAGAAAACAGCTTACAGAGAGGATGGAAATCCAGAGCACTCATACTGCCACCTCCAACCCCAGGCTCGTGGCAGACGTCACCATTCGATCACAGCATTTGTGACCACTGAGCCCTCAGGTGGCCTTAGACTCCTGAACGGGATGCCCTAAGAAAGCACTGAGGACTACCAACCGATCGATGAGGCAAAGCTTCCGCCATCTCTATATTCCATAGACCTGGGAGTTGCACTATGTGGGGTTGGGGGCCACTCAGGACTAGAGAGGCCAGAACAGACACAGATGAGAGCACACACAGGGCCTCATGTTCGGGGGGACACTGAGTAGCCCGGGATAATCAAACAGGGCAGAAGAAGGAAGGGCAAAGGGACGGGGAGAATGGCAGGTGCTCAGCGTGGGCCTGAGCTCATTGTCTCCCCCAGGCCTGGCTCACTGAGATTCATGAGTACGCCCAGAGGGATGTGGTGATCATGTTGCTAGGCAACAAGGTGAGTGGCTTCATGGCAGGGGCAGCTCATCCCCGCACCTCCTCTCCCTCTGCCTCCGAATTAGCTCCAGCCAGCCTCAATCATCGCCCAGGAGCAGGAACTGGACCTCCTTCCAGCAAAGGATTCTTTCCAGTCCCCAGCTCAGGGGTCAGACCTTGCTGGAGGCTCAGCCCATCTTATCTGCCCTCGAAAAGCTGTGGAAATGGCCCCCTTCAGGGAAAGCTCAAGCTGCTGCTTTAGAGATCAAAGCCTGCCCACCCTATTAGATCATAGTGACTAGAGTCACGGGTTCAGAGCTACGACTAGAAAAGGTTAGCTCCAACTGTCACCGCTCTGAGGCTGAAGGGGTTACCCACCTCCCCAAGTGGGAGTGAGATCCAGGGTTGGGAGCTGGGGGACTCAGCCTGAACCGGGAGGGAACTCTGGCCCCATTCCAATCATACCGCTTGCAGTCCCACAGGCCACCAGCAGAGGGCGGGCAGTGCCTGCTCCTGGGGCAAAAGATGGGCCAGCAGGGGCAGGAGAGGGGCCAGCTGGGGTCAAGGCTTCCTTCCCCAGAGTGACCCACCTGGGCTTGACAGGCAGATGTGAGCAGTGAAAGGGTGATACGTTCTGAGGACGGAGAGATGCTGGCCAGGGTAAGTGACCGCCTGTGGACAGGGTGAGGGGTGGGGGCAGCTGGAAACTGGCCCTGAGGACAGTCTCTCTCTGGCAGGAGTACGGAGTGCCCTTCATGGAGACCAGCGCCAAGACGGGCATGAATGTGGAGTTGGCCTTTCTGGCCATTGCCAAGTGAGAGCTGAGCAGGGACGGGAACCGTGCAGGGCGGGGTGGCACCATCTGGGAATCCTGACCCAGCCCCTGGACCCAACGGCATTCTGCATCCTGAGGTCCATTTGCCCTGGTCCGTGGGAGTGGGGAGGATGCACAGGTCCTCGCTCCCTGCCCAGCCCATTGCTTCCTCCTCTTCAAGGGAGCTGAAACACAGAGCCGGGCAGCAGGCCGATGAGCCCAGCTTCCAGATCCGAGACTACGTGGAGGCCCAGAAGAAGCGGCCCAGCTGCTGTTCCTTCCTGTGAATCCCAAGGGGCTGAGACGAGGCTCCAGGAGCCCATGAGGATGCCTTCTCCCCCAGATCTGATAGGTTCTGAGCAGCTGAGCCAATGGGGAAGAGAGCTGGGGACCCAGTACACAGCCCCTTCCCAAGGGGCCTACCCTACTTCCTGTAGCTTCCCTGCACCCCAGAGAGGGTAAAATATTTATATTGTGTTTTAATGATACATAATTTAATACAAAAAAAGGGCGCCAGTGACCCTGTTCCCGCCCTCACTACAGCTGGAGAGGCCAAGAAGACCTCAGCCTTCATTTCCTCTAGCTCCCTAGGGACCAATCTTCCCCCAAATAACATGGGCCCTTGTGCTGTGCTGGGAGCTAGACCAAAGCTTATCTCTCATCAGGGAAGATAAAAAAATGTGGAGATCAGGCTGGGGCCCAGCTCCCTAGGAGGGGGAGAGAGGAGTAGCAGAGATTGGGTCTGTCTGGCTCCCTCTGGCCTTACCGGCCCCGCTCCGGGAGGTGTATTCCTTTTCCTCCAGCCCACAAGCACACGGGGGCACCGGGAAACATTTGGTTCTTATTCTCTGGACCTCAGATCCAGGGAGTCCCTCCTTCCTGAATCCCTGATCTTACCTACCTTTCTGCCTATGACCCTACACACCTAAGGTCATAGCAAGGGAAAGGTTGTTTTCCTGTCCCAACCCTTCGGCAGGTATGCAGCCCACAGGCTACTTGTTCCAGTAGCCTTAGTGCTTCCACTAGGTAAGGAGCCAGATGAAAAGAAACCCCTGACTCCTAGAGCAGGTTGGAAGAAAATCTGAGAAAACCTCACTCTACACGTGTCCCCCTAAACCAAACGCTGCCTCTCACCTGACCACCCATGCCCTTTTCTTCTGAGACAGACACCAGGGCCCAAACTGCTTTATCTCCCCTCCTTTTGAGCCAGGTTAGGGAATGAGAGGTCATCCATTTCTGGGTAAACCAACAATGACATGTGCAAAACAAGGTCACGTGGGTAAGCCTGGGGTGGGGAGAGAGAGGGGCAGCAAGGAGTTTATGTGGGGCCAAGGTCATGTGTCTCCCAAAGCCCCGACCTCAGCAACCAGAAGGGAATAGGAGACATGCATGTCCTGACCTAGAGGCTCTCCAGGCCAGGGGTGGGAGAGAGGGGCGAGAAAGAGGTATGCACTGAACATGTCTGAGGCTTTCAAGGCAGAAATCTTGCTGTCTGAGTAGTCGGCAGCTCCAACTTGGGCCTGATAAGGAAGCTCTCCAAGGCCTCTCCCAGGCAGAATAAGGAGGAGCCTGACCTTGCCCAAGGCAGGTCGCAGGGGATCCAATCACCCAGGCTGCTCTGGGCCTCTAGCATTTGTGTTTTCCAGAATTAAATTGCAATATTTTGGAAAGTACACCCTGTCCACTGCTTCTTTGAGACGCGCATGGGAGGGGGGAGAAAACTTAGCGTGTGTTGGAGGAACTGTCGTTGACTTCCAAAATTATTTGGTCCTCATCCTTCAGTGTCCCCAAGTGGTCACCTCACCCTTGACAGATTGCCCCCCAGCCTGTGATCAGCCTCTCACCTGTAAGGAGCTGAAAGAAGGCCTATCTTACCGTCCTAATCGAGTTTTCTTTCTCTATTGAAGAAAGCTAAGCTTCCCTTCCCTGTAGCCTGTACCCAGATTGGTTACCTGGCTCTGTTCTGCCTCTCGCCACCCCAACTCCCTAGCCAAATGCTGACGCCAATGCCCAAGACATTGCCCTAGGACGGCCCGTCTTCAGTGGGCAGCCCCTGCGAAGCCTTGGACTCTGCTGAGCCCTCACACTGTCCTTGTGAGAATCAGAGCACGCCCCCTCCCACAAGCGGATCCTGGGATAGCACAATTTGACTCCACAAACAGGAAAATGTTATTCAAGCAACTCTGTTGGGTCGGAGATAGATATCGGTCTTATTCGTAAGACCGCTGAAACCTCGCCGCCCCGGAGCGGGAGCGGTTTCCCGGCAACGGTTGCCCCCCACCTCACCCTACCCCCACCCCCACCCCCACCCTCACCTGCATTGGAGACCCCAACCCTAACCCTAACCCTAACCCTAACCCTAACCCTAACCCTAACCCTAACCCCCCCACCCCCACCCTCACCCTTGCATTGGAGTTGCAAAGTTTGGCTAAGGTTGTTAAAGCATTAGGATCCTTTACCCATGGGTTGGCTCTCCTCAAGCGCCGCCACAGGTGGGGGACAATCAGAACCGAGCCTGCTGGCCCGTCTGCTCAGTACCGAGAACTCGCCCCGCCCCCCGCCTCAACTCAGGCCACTTGGTAACAAACACTTCCACTTCCTGAGCCCTCTTTCTTCTCCCGCCGCGGGGCGCCGCGCGGATCGCAGGGCCCCGCCCCTGCGCATTCCCATTGGCCGGCGTCGTTCGCCGACCAGAGCGCCCCTTGGCCGTGGCCCCTGATTGGCCCGGAGTGATTTACACCTCTGCGCGGCCCCGCCTCCTGAATAAGGGTCCGGGGTGGTTCTGGAACTCTCAGACGCGGCGCGGGGCGGGGATTGGCTTCTTCCTCGGCTCATAGCAGTTCGCGGCTGCAGTTCGTGGGACACCTGCTAGTTCCTCCGGCGCGGGGGCTTCTTGCCGCGCTCTCTCCAGCCTCCCGGTCCGCAGGGCTGGGTAAAGGGCTGGACCGTCCGGTCTCCGATCCCTTTACAGGACTCCGCGTCGCGCCGCTGAGCCGTCGCAGGGCGAGATGAGCGCGGACGCAGCGGCCGGGGCGCCCCTGCCCCGGCTCTGCTGCCTGGAGAAGGGTCCGAACGGCTATGGCTTCCACCTGCACGGGGAGAAGGGCAAGGTGGGCCAGTTCATCCGGCTGGTGGAACCCGGCTCGCCAGCCGAGAGGTCGGGGCTGCTGGCCGGAGACCGGCTCGTGGAGGTGAACGGCGAGAACGTAGAGAAGGAGACCCACCAGCAGGTGGTGAGCCGCATCCGCGCGGCGCTCAACGCCGTGCGTCTGCTGGTGGTCGACCCCGAGACGGACGAGCGGCTGCAGAAGCTGGGCGTCCAGGTCCGGGAGGAGCTGCTGCGCACCCAGGAAGGGCCCTCGCAGGCCGAGCCGCCGGCCGCCGCCGAGGCGCAGGGGGCTGGCGACGAAAATGAGCCACAGGCCGCCGCGCCGGAACCGGGGGAGGCGGAGAAGAGCCATCCGGAGCTGGTAAGTGCTGGCTGGGGCGGGCGGCGAGGCTGGAACGGGGTGGGAGGGGCGGATCAGGGAGAAACCTGTCTTTTCTGAAACTCGATCTTCGAGGGGGAGACTGCTTTCGCCAGCCTGCCGGGCGCACTGGTAGGCGCGGGCTTGGGGCTGCGTCCCGCGACCCCCACCCCCTCTCCAGACTGGGCTGGGACTCTGAACTACTTCGCCACCTGCGTCTCCTGTCCCGTGCCCGTTGGGAGTGGCGGTGAGAGAGGGCGGCTCAAGGGAGTCCAGTCCCCCTTTCCTCGGCTCCGTTGGTGATGTCTGCTCCCGTTTTCCTAATCTCCTAATGCCGCCACCCTCGAGGCCCGCTTCTCCGCCAGCCGTCCCACGGGTGCCAGCTTCTTCCACGGCCCCTGTGGGTGGTCGGAAACTGAAGCTGGGGTGAAGCGAGCGTGGCCCCGACTTCAAAGAGCTAGAGGAATAACAACCCCTGTTCTTTGCGGAGCCCCCGCTCTGGGAGGGGAGAGGTCGCAGGCTACTGGTGTGTGTATCATTAACTTCAGCCCGGCTGGACTTCACCCTCCTCCTGAAGTCCGGTGTGACTTCTAAGAAAGAGAGAGGAAGCCCCACTGTCTCAGGGCGATATGAGGGGTGGGGGTGGGGAAGAGGTGCAGAGGCCTCTCCCGGGTGGTGGCCGCGGCTCTGCCGCCCAGGAGGATTTATGATTCTTAGGAATGTGAGGAGTAAGCACTAGCTTGTATCTGGGAGTGGGAGGGAGGACCTTGGAGGAGAAAGATGGCTCGGGGAGAGAGAGCAGGGAGTGGTCCCGTGGCGCTGGGCCACCTAGGGGCTGGCAGAGCACACTGTGGGCAGGTGGTCTTGTCCTGGCATTGTCTGCCTCACTCCCATCCCGGGACAGCAAGCAGGCTGGTTGCTTTTTGCCCATGTTCGGTGTTTCCCCAAAAGATCTCAGTTTGGATCAGCTGCAGGAGGGGAAGTGGCAAAACTGGAATTGTGCTGAGCCTCCTGTCCCCAGAGAGTGAATGGGGAGGCCTTAGGGTGCAGACTGGGGAGCAGGGCCTGGTTCTCCCCGTGGCCCATGTGGCTTGCACCAGCTCTCCACCTGGTGGCAGCTTGTGGCACAGGTGTCCATGGTGCCAGCAGGAGCCTCCCCTGGACAGAGAAACGGCACAGTTCGGCCTTAAGGTAGAGGGTAGAGCCCGAGAGGACCAACTGGTTTGGTGGAAGTGAAGGAAGTGAGGTCACAAGTAGCCGTGTCCAGCGGGAGTTGGGTGCCGGGAATGCCAGGCCCGCCAGGCTCCCACTTCCTGCCACCGCCAAGCTGGCATTGGCAAAGGTGGGGCAGGGGTCGGAGCATCCTAGTCAGGGGTCAGACACTGGAGAATTGGAACCCATGACCTCTGGTCCTAGGCAGAAATCCACTTTGAACTTTGTGCTGAGGGCATCGAGTTTCCATACCTCTGGTTTTTTGGACTTTGGCACTCGCACAAGTAGCGTGTACCGCCCCCGCCC